GATTGCCTTTTTTACTTCGTCAGACATACTTTAAAGAACTTGGCAATTTTTTCAAAAACTAGCGCCTATCTTGATGCGGTCATTATATGCATGACTAAATCTAAATGCGTCAAAACAGAATGTGTTTGTTTTTGAATTAAACAACTGTCATATGTCTGAATGTATTGAAATTGTTAACACTTGTGATGTGTTTTTAGAATTTCTTAATTTATGCAAAACCAAATTAAATTTCAACAAGTTTGAACGCATTAAAATTCTTTGCTCAGTTGGACAAAAAATATTCAACTATTAGCAAGTCATTGTTGTATTAAGGCTAATATTCTGGAAAAGAAAATATGCAAGTAATTATTGGCAAAAAGACATGGAAGGATTGATGAAAGTTTAGTGTACTTTCACAAATTGGCGACAGTACCCAAGAGGTTAAAAATATCATGGAACGGGCGTTCGAACCCCACACTAAAAATAAGTACGGGGTGCTGATCCCGTACTTCTAAATATTTCCGTACTTTAATGCGTTCTAATTGAAATAGTATGGGTCTTTTTGAAGCACGTCGTAGGACGCCACACACTTATACTCGTTCTGACCAAGAAGTATGGGCCGTTCGTGATACCCCTTCGAGAAAGGCCGGCTGGATGACCCGTTCTGATAGAAAAGGTCGCCCGTAGTGGAACCCGTTCTGACACACACGGACACGCCCCATACTGGACCCGTTCCTATACGAAAAAAGTGCTGGCGTACTGCTGCCAGTCCAAAACGACCCGTACTATATCCGTTGCGAGATAAAAAGAGACGTCCGATACTTGAACCCGTTCTTGTGTACAAAATGACGTCCTAGTCCCGTTACTACGTAAAAAAGTACTAAGCGTTCTTATACCCGTTCTGACACGAGAAGTTTAAAATTCATGGTATGTTCAGAGAGGTGTTTCACAAAAATTCTTAAGTCATAAAAACTTAAGTCTATGCTTAAGTCCATATCTTATCTAAGTTTGAGACACACTTAAGTTGACGAACCTAAAGCGTTGCACTACGTCAAACTTAAGATCGACTTCAAAAAACTTTAAGTGCGCAACTTAGTCGCACGATCTTAAGTTAAGTCCATCCACTTAACTGATGCATCGTGCAATTATTACTGCAATTTAGCGTACTTTTCCAAAAAACAATAGAGTTCGTGATAGTTCAGTTATATGGCATGAGCTTATGAAAAATATGGGAAAATGAGAGAAAAAAGAAGATCAAGAATTAGAACTACGACTCGATGAAGAAATTGAAACAAGTAACAGATGGACAGCTGAAAGAAAAAGTTCTTGAACAGAAATTACAAGATCTTACAGAACAGTATCTTTCACTAGCTATCGTCTAGTTCAATGACTGATGTACTTATTTTATCTGAGACTTGAAGAAGAAGAGCATGGACGACAAAAATTAGGAATCAAATGCGTTCGGTTTGAGAAAAAAGCTAAAAGTTTTAAAGATATTATTGCTAATCTACAAAAGAACGAAAATTTATTAAACATAAAGGACGCAGACGATAAGAGCCAAAATCAGCCACCGCTCAAATCAGTCTTATGTTAAATCATCTAATCCAGTTTTTCTCCGCGAACAATGCTAACATATTTTTCATCCTTAAAAATCCTCTTCAGCGTCCCTGGAAACATTTCAGCAAAAAAATCTACCGTTACGTTAAACGACCTTTACATTATTCAATCTCTTCCACCTAGATCAAATATCAACTATTATACGCCGTTCGAAAGACAATTTCACCGGCTACAAAATGATACATAAGATAGCCTTAAGGAAATGTAACTGGGTAGCCTAAGATCCGAAATACTTGGTAGAATCTCACTAAATCGGTAGGTCAACGTCGTTCATGTCTATAATGATGACTAATTTTACCGTTAACCGCTCTACCTTATGTATCATTCGATAGAGAATTTCACGAACTTAAAAATAAACTATTAATAGGACTATCGAAAATATGTCCACACTGGTCAATGGTTGAAATACTTGGTAGATATAATGATTTTCACCTATGAATAAAATATGAAACAACGGATTGTCTTTTTATGGATGGTACTTTTGATGTAGTACCTGAAATATATTTTCAGCTTTACACCATTCACGCGAACTATTTGGGTCAAGTGGTGCCAATTGTGTATGCTTTATTGCCTGGTAAATAAATTACAGAAAGAGAAAGAAGTCATCATTCTATCATCTGTTGGTCAGTCTTTCGCCTAACAGATATGTGAGAAAAAACGTCTGTCAGTTGTTTCGGTCCCTATTCACTAGTAAGAGAAAAAGAAGGAGTACACTTGTTATTCTTTTAATATTGGATTTTCCACGAACAGACAAGATGATCATCAACAAGATCCGATGGCCAAACAACTGGCTTTCATACTATTATCCATTTCAATTTGAGTTTTCAGCAAAAGTCTCGATCGAAAATTTCGAAAAAATTCAAAGTTGTCCCAAAATCTGAAACATACATCAGTCAATCCAGTTTTTGATGCTAATTCCTAATATGCTATTGGTTTTCCAAAAAACTGGTAGTTTGACGGCAAAACCTTCAGAATACGAGTGCATTTCCTTATTTTTTGCTACCTGTTTCGAAAAAATTAATTTTCTCAACAACGAAGAAATATTTTCCAAAACCGATGCATAACGTTTTTCATGGCGATGTGGCGAGCCTAATGATATAAAAATATTGGCTTCATCTCTTATCTAGAAAGACTTGAAGCATTTGCCAGAGAGAGGAGAGTGATTTTCACTGTTGACGAAAGACCAACTATTTTCAGGGTCATATGATATTTGATTATTCATCAAAAACATATTTTTTAGATACAGTTTTTCACGTAGACTAAAAACAAAAAATGCACTATATATTGAAATGGATAATAGTATGAAAATAGTTTAGCAGACTATTTTGTAGAGTTATCAGGAAAAGATGGTGTAGAATGATGTTTCTAGGTACTTGAGTGTTAGTATAACTACACAATGTTTATTTTTTATTGTTGAGGAAATTGGCAAGAATTTATAAAGAAATGCTTCAACAGTTGGTTCGTATGAGACCAGCTTCTGATCCACGAAAAATTATGATCGATTTCGAAAAGCGACTATTAACTCTGTGCAATGTTTGATGCCAAATGCTTATTTGTCCGGATGTTATTTCCATCTATGTCAAAGCGTCTACCGTCATGTTGTTCAATCGGGACTAAAAACAGAATACACAAGAAGGGTTTGGGTGCATGGCTCTTCTGGACTGAGATATCGAATTATCAAGTTATGATCGAATCAATCATAACCAATGTCGGATGCATCTGTTGATAAAACCAGTGGTGATGATGGGTCTGGAAATGACAATAATAACGGTTCTGTTGATAAACTTTCTTTCAATTGTTCATAAGCTTGTCGTTGTTCTTGATTCCAGAAGAATTTTTGTTTTCTGTTTCTTGTTAACTTGTGTAATGGGGCTGTTATTATGGAGAAATTTGGAATGAATTTTCTATAAAAACTAGTTGCTCCCAAAAATACATCAACATCCTTAATTGGTTTTGGCGTCGGTAAATCAATAAGAGCTTTAACTTTATCCATCAAAGGTGTAATACCTTGGCTGTTGACGGTGTGAACTAAATAATCCATTTGTGGGTGAACTAATGAACATTTTGATGGATTTAATTGGAAGTTGGCATTGTTTTATATTGTTAATATTTCATCCAGATGTTGTACATGTTGTTGAAATGATTTGGAAAATATAATAATATCATCAAGGTAAACCAAACAATGATCCCACCTTTGATATGCTAATAATTCATTCATAATCCGCTGAAATGTGGGACGCGCATTTTTGAGACCTTGTGATAACACGTTGAATTCCCAGTGACAATCCTGAATAATGAATGCTGTTTTTTCTTTATCATCTTCTTGGATGGGTATTTGGAAACAGCCGGATTTAAGATCTAATTTGGTGAAATATTGGTGACCACCTAAGAGATTAATTGTTTCTCCCACATGTGGTAATGGATAGGAATCTTTTTTGGTGATGTTATTAAGTTTCCTGTAATCTACACAAAATCTAGTTGATCCGTCTTTCTTCTTGATCAAGACAACTGGAGACTCCCATGGTGAGGTTGAACGTCTAACGAGATAATTCTTTTTTATCTGTTGAATGTGTAGGGTATTCTAATGATAACTAGATCTATCCGTGAGCAAAATTTCAAATCAAAATCTTATAGTTTGAGTTTCCAGTGAACACCCACGAATAGGCCGAAAATTCAGTAAATCGGTCATAACTCTTGATCAATAGGCCATGGGCACGAATCCTTCTAGGTTTTACTTAGTCTAATTGAAATATACTTATAGCCATATGTTTTCGATCTTTATATCAGATTTTTGTAGACTGAAAACTCAGTCGTTGAATAACTTCGATATCTAGCTCTCGTTTAATCAAGTTTTACAAGGTTTCTAAATCCCCCAACCTCATGTTTCGTATACGAAATCTCTAACCTACGAAATTTAGCGACACTTTCAGAGTTAAAAACTATAATGTATATGAAAAGTTGACAATGAGACTATATTTCTTACTAATACATGAATACAGCTGAATTTCTATAAAACTTTATCCAAAGAGCTATATAGTGGTGAAAAGACTAGTCGGGAGTGAAGTCTCCACAGGATGTCGACGACTGACTCGGAGTTGGCTTCATTAGAATTTGTGAAAGAACTTTTTTAACGAAAGGTATAAGAGTCTGAGTGTTGAGTTGAAAGGATGTGACAGTTATACAGAATCAAACATGTAAGCGGAAGATCATATACGATTTCTAATGTGAAAGTGCGAAAAGCTCGTAAACTGTATGTTGAATAATAATAAAGCCTGAAATATTTTTCGATAAGTTAGAACTTCTACTAACGATGGAAGGTCCTCAACTGGTTTCGAGATTTTGGCTCGATCTTTTGGCTATAAGTATATTTCAATTAGACTAAGTAAAACCTAGAAGGATTCGTGCCCATGGCCTATTGATCAAGAGTTATGACCGATTTACTGAATTTTCGGCCTATTCGTGGGTGTTCACTGGAAACTCAAACTATAAGATTTTGATTTGAAATTTTGCTCACGGATAGATCTAGTGATCATTAGAATACCCTAAAAATTTCAGCCAAAACAAATGCTTCTTTCTTGAGATATTGAATTTTCAAAAACTAGTCGCTTGTGGCTAGTTTGTCACAAACATCGAATTTACATGATTACTCAATATCTCAAGAAAGAAGCATATGTTTTGGCTGAAATTTTTAGGGTATTCTAATGATCACTAGATCTATCCGTGAGCAAAATTTCAAATCAAAATCTTATAATTTGAGTTTCCAGTGAACAGGATTACTCAATGCCCGAGCCTCGAAAAATCTGATTGGTTGAAACCACAGCGTGGAAAAATCTGATTGGCTGGAACTTTGATCTGAAAAAACCCATTGACTAAAAAGCTGATATCGAAAACTTATGATTAGCGGAAATCGCAGTCTAAAAACCTGATTTTAATCGTTAAGCCTTTTTTGTGTTTGTAGACACGCTGTTTTCAGTAGCGTATAATCGATTTGCTTAATTGGGTTGAGCATAGTACTGCTAAAATCATTCATTTGATTTTACGCGATGTGAAACTTTAGCTCTCGAGACAAACTGGCGAAGAAGAATTATTAAACCTATATATGTTGTAGCCAAACTTAAAATTCAGCCAAATTTAAAATTTGGCTGACGATTCTCAGCCAAAATTAAAATTTCAAGTTTGGCTAGCCAAAATTAAAATTAGATTCTTGATTTTAATTTTGGCTAGCCAAATTCTAAATTTGGCTGGTCAAAATTAAAATTTCAATTTTGGCTGAAGATTGTTCAGCCAGATTTAGAATCTGACTAGCATTCTCAAGCCAAAATTAAAATTTAAGGTTTCACTAGGCAAAAACTATAAAGTTTAGCTAGAAATTGTCTATTATGAGATAAGTTAACTTGTACTGATTTGGTCAAAATTAGAAATGCCTTTAGAAAAAATATATTATATGAAATATATTATACGCAAGTACAATAACGACAGAACAATGAGATATGAAGAATGTATAATGAATGAAATGTCGAAAAGAAACAGAGAAACGTCAGATATGAAGAGGCCTTTAGTCCTATATAAACAGCTTTTTCCGCATTCATTATTACCTTTAACTTTTTTTCACTTCTCTATTATAATACTGTTCTTTCAAGTTATTAACTCGTAGTTTATTCAATCATTATGTCATATTCAGATCTATTAGGTGTTCCAAGAGAAGACAGTGGAACACAACTGGACTCTGTTGCACCAGGAAATAATGGTTCGATCGTAGCTTCTGTCGCACTAGCAGACCGTTGTATTGCTTCTTCGGCTAATGCTACTGAAGTTAATGATTTGGCTGTTGCTTCTGATGCAGTAGTATCCGGAAGTGTGCTCGCTGCTTCTGTTGGTGTGTCCACTATTTCTATGTTTGATAATCAAGAAAAATTATTTTATGATGAAATTGATAAATAATTTAAATGAAAAATTTCAACAAAAGGCTGTTATTAAAAAAGACATATTTGATAGTATTCTTAAAGTTTTGCATGCAGAGAAAGGTAAGAGTGTGGAAGGTGTGAATGGTTCATTTGTGTTTTGGAGTCGAAAGAATTTCATATTGCGAGAGATATCAGGTATTGAAATAGTATGTTGTGTGAAATCCAAACAACCGGTTTGTACGTATAAACCTTTTAATAATATTGTCAAGGAAAGTCATGAGACAATTTCCTACGGAGGTCGAGACAAAACGTTAGCAGAAATTTTAGCTCATTATTCGTGGATACCTAAAATTGTTCTGGAGATTTATATGAAGTATTGTTTACCATGCCAGCATCGAAAATCCGTAAAAACACCCGTTGTAAGTAAGCCGATACTATCTCTTGGTGTCCTTACTCGTCTTCAGATCGATTTGATCGATATGCGTACTCGTCCAGATTGTATTTCCAGTGACGTTGTGTATCAATGGATATTGCATTGCTAAGATCATTACTCAAAATATTCATGGGCTTATCCGTTGGTGGATAAATCAGCTGGTGGTGTTGCAAAAAAAACTACGTGAATTATTTTTTACATTTGGTCCACCAAAACTATTACATTCGGATAATGGTGCCGAATTCGTCGCCGATGTCATCACTGCATTAAAATTGTTATTTCCTGATATGTGTTTTATTAGAGGTCGGCGAAGATATCCACAAAGCCAAGGTTTGGTAGAAAGAGGTAATGGTGTGTTTTGTGATTCTTTGGGTAAATGGATGTCATCAACGAATTCGGAACATTGGTCAGATGGTCTGTTGCCTGTTGTGTATGGAATAAATACACGCGTGGCATGTGGTATTAAATGTACACCATATGAGGTAATATTTGGGCAGAAGCCGCATTCAGATTCAGATTTTTGGCGAATTATTAAAGATCAAAATATTGAAGATGAAGACATGTTACCAGTGCCGATCGAAACACAACAAGAATCAGGTGAATCAACCAGTGACTATGCACTTATTGATGAAGCATTAGCCGCAGCAAATTCTATTTTAGGTAATGAAGGGGATGATGAATCCCAAAACGACGACTTCTTTCCAATAAATAATCAATCTACTCCTTCAACACCAGTTCGTGAATAATCCAGGTAATAATTGCAAGTCACCAGTTTTTTTATTTCGTCATGAAAGTGTTAGACAACAAGCAACAAATAACATTCTAACAGCTGTTCAAAAGAAACGAAAATTGTACGACGAACATTTAACACAAAAAGCAAAACAGTATAAAGTAGGAGATTGCGTAAGTATTCAAATTAGCGACGTTGATCGAACAAATATTGATGTTAAACTGCTACCATGTTTAATTCTTTCAAAGGATAAAAAAGACGCTGATTTCATTTTTAGAACAGCATGTAAATTTGGTAAACTTGCGATCGCGTATATGGTTGAAAGCTTGATCGATTTGCGATCCGCATGTCCAACAGATTTAAAACTAAATGAAGTAAGTTCTCTTGGTGAAATAACAGTAATCGAAGCTGCAAAATTATTAGTTCGCGGTGCTGTATCCGGTGTAATATGCGATTGTAAGACTAAATGTGGCACGAAACATTGTCCCTGTAAAAAAGTAGGAGTGGCATGCTCAACAAAATGTCATGTTAAACAGCGTGGATGTTTGAATTCAACTTAATAAAGATTCTGCTTGCTTGCTTTTTTACTTTTAAGATATCTCAAAAAATTCAGTGGAATTATATCAAAAAAATGATAAAAGTTGAAATTTACAAAAATATGCATGTCTTATTTTTTTTATATTCATATTTCTTCAGCAAATTATAAATGTGGAAAAATTCAAAAAAAATTTATAAAATAAACCCAAAAAGGTTTATCCCTAGGTAAAAAGTTTAGGTAAAAAGGTTTACCCTTTTTGGGTTTATTTTATAAATTTTTGCCATATACTCATCAGATTTCTTATCGTATGTCTCTGGTCTATCAAGATCAAAAATTTTTGATTTGTCCGTTTTTCGGAAAATTACCGCCTGTTGTTTCTGTTGCTGTTTGAAGTAATTAATCGCTTTCTCAAAACTTTTGTCGATCTTTTCACAGGAAATTCTATCAAAAATTTCCTTCTTAACTCTAGTAGCAAATTTATCTACTACTTGTCTAGGGATGTTTGGTGCACGTATATTTTCATTAAATCTGAGCTGTATCTTATCTCGCATGGCTTCTACTTCATATGACAGACGGCGAAGTGTCGTTTTAGGGTTAGGTTGAACATAAGCAGGACCTTTATTCAGTATTGATCTTTGGTATCCATTCAAATTTAACGCGTAATTTTTGATTTGGGGAGGAAACCCTATTGCACTAACATGGGGGTGGACATTACTACTGCTGCTCATTAACTTGGATTGGTTTTTGAGGCTCTTTTTTCTAAAAAATGTACTTTAATATCGGTTTTAGATTCTGAACGTTCCTTTTGGATCTCGACTATTCTATCTAAATGGGTGAGAATGTTTTTCTCTCCATTGAGATAGGCTCTTATTAATGCTATATTTTTGTCAATTTGCAATATTTCAAGATTTTTCGCTTTTATCATGCATTGTGTGAGTTTCAGTTTTGCGTCTCTCAATGCCGCGTCCCATTCTTCTCGAATGATCATTATCTCAGAGTCATTTGGATCAATGTATGTCCTTAATCTAATATCTAACTGCTTTAATGCGGGTGGGGGTGATTTGGCATTGCAACGAGCTTCTAATTTAGCTAGTTGCATGGCAAGTTCATTTCGTCTTTCGTGCAAGTTCACAAGTATACGGAGATTTTCTGATTGTTCCTGAGTTTAAACTCAATTTTCAATAGATCTCTATGTTTTTTTAAATCAATTTCCATGACTAAGTGTTTAATTTTCTTATCATGGATAGCTCTCTGTGTCCTTATAAACGGTTCTACTGATTCTTGAATATATTGATTAATCGATTCTGCAGCTTCTAACTGCTGGTCTTCTGGAAGGCATAAGATACCTAACATGTCTTTCAGTTTCCGTCTAGCGGCATGAAAATGGTGGTCTGCTTGGAGTTTTAATCTCGTAAAGTAGTGATTTTTAGCCACAATATTCTCAACACTAACTGGGATATTTTCTCGTTTTAGAACTGTGTAGACTTCATTCACAATAACTGGGAACTTTCCCA